TTTTGTTTTTTTTTTTGGTTTTTTTTTTTTTTTTTTTTTTGTGATCAATGTTTATTCATTGTACTTTCAGATAGGCCATTAAGACAAAAACAGGCTGTATTGATGGTGATAACTATATGGATTTTATCAGCAGCAGTATCAACTCCATATGTTTATTATATCACCTTAAAAAGGCATATTTTTGTTAACTTTTATAGAATTTTCTTAACTGACGAAGAAAATATCTTTTCATTTTTTGCTGTAGTTATTTGTTGTTTTGTGAAGCATCAACAAAGGAGGATTATTTTAATGAAGATTTGACGTCCCGACTAATTTAATAATATTTAAATGTGAACTTTCAAATTTTACTTTAAAAAAAAAATTTCTGAGATTTATTCAAGAAGTAGATTTTATTTTGGTGTATTTTTTCCCTGTTTTTTCAAAATTTCAAACATTGAATTTATTGTATGCTCCATGAGAAATTGCAACCAAAGAATAGCAAAGAAAGAGAAAAGAAAGACAGAAAGTTTTTTTTTATCACTTTAAACTAAACTGACTTCTAATCTAGCTGCCTTTTTCATTTCAGTTATCCAAACATTTGTGGATATTTTTGTACAGAAACCTGGCCAAGTGAACAGTCTAAACGTACTTATACATTTTTGGTATTAATTATTCAATTTGCAATACCGCTTACCGTATTGGCACTCTGTTATCACTCGGTAAACTTCAATTATTTTTCTGATAGTTAGAAGCCAAAGATTATTGTCTACAAATGTTTTGATCAGACAATAAGACTGAAAAAAAAAACGCTATTTGGAATAATTACCAAAATCTTTCTATACAAAACATTATATCTGCTTCAACTCTAATTGCTTTTTTTTTTCATCGGATCGAAAATTTTGTTGCTAAGGACAATATGGATTATAGCATCTGTTCAATTATCTATTTCATCAATGTGCTCAATTGCGGCGTTCTCATGATAACTGAAACTTCTGGAAACCGAATATTGAAGATGTAATGATTAATTATAAATGTAATTTTAGATTTTTTCTTTTCTGGCTCAAAGAGCTCGTTGCCGTATTATTTCAATTACCAAACAGACAGATTTTCTTAGTCTATTGGCTTCTGCCTCTCGACCAACTGATAACCAACATCAGGAACAGGTAATTTGACTTCTATAAACTTTTTTTTTGTTTTTTTTTTTTTTTTTTACTTTTGGCTGCTAAATTTTTATGGGTTTTACGTAAAGTAGTGTCTATCAAATGTTGAAAGCTGCAAAGTAACAAATGACATTACGAATGACAAGCATCTTTAGCCGGAAAAGATAAAAAAAAGTAAATTTTGCGAAGTCCCAGCTTTTTCTTTCCCTGTTGTTGTAGTTGTCGTTATTCAAGTTTATTCTATTTAGTTAGCATACATTTAAAACTTCTTTTTTCTAATTGGGGAATGGAGGCGAGAGGAGATGTAGGGAAAAAAGTCTGGAAAGGACGGTTCACAATCGCGACCAGGGTCGAGCAACAAGATCTTTTAATAAAACTTTAACTGTTATTTCTATAATAAACAGATTTTTTGTGCTCTTAATTTCTTACCGAGTTCAACAAAAAAAGTGTACAAAACAATACTTTTAGTTTACAAGAAAATAAACTCACTGGTATATAAATTTAGAAAAGCTGATCGTAAAATTATAGAATAATCATCAGCAGTAGATCTTTCATATTCCTTGTTGTCGCTATTTTAGTACATCTGCGCATAACATATAGCAACAGATTAAATGATGGGTGAACTTAATGTAGATCAGAAAAAGTATCAATCTTTACAAGTTCACTGTAGTTTGTCTAATTGCAGCTTACGTACCTCAGTAGACAGAAGAAACAGCTTTGGCGCCATAAGAAACGGGCAACAATATTGTTGGCAGTTACAGTTACTATCTTTGGACTAACGGCATTACCAAATAATATATCATCGCTAATATATGATTATGATACCGATGCATCACTACTAACTGTCAATGGATACGATTTTTTTTACCTTATTAATTTATTCACGCATTGGTATGTTGATTAGTTTATCGTTTTTATTACGCCTTCTTACGTATCATCTTTTCTGTTGCTTCTTTTGTTGATCTTCTTTTAGTATGCGTCGCAAGAATGATAGTTATTTTACATTGAGAAATTATAACAGTTTAATACTTTTACAGTCTTTGCTAGATTACTTAGTGTACACTACGTGTTATGTCACACTAAAAATACGAGACTTATTGCACAGCAAAAAAATTCGTAATAATTTCAGCATGATGACGGCTTGTTGTGTGGCTAATCCAATACTGTATGCTTTCCTAAATCCAGAATTTCGTAAATCACTGATGCGACGGCGACTGTATGCAAAGCACACCTTGCAAGCAGCTCGATCTTTTCCTACATGATTCACAGATGTAGCAAAAGGGTTACAATATGCCTTAGATTAGAGCTAGGTGTTGATAATGTTCTGATATGTGTATACTGATCTGTACAAGAAAAATAAAGCAACACCTGAGCACTTTATCCTGGAATGGAAGAGTACAAAGCTGTCGAGGGCGATTTATGCAAATTGGCTGGCAGTCAAATGCAGGGGATTTTTTCATATCTCGAATGAATTTGGCAAAATGGTAGTCTAAAAGAAAGCTGAGAAAAGAAATTGATGCAATGAAACGATTTTTAAATTGT